AACAAACGCAAAGGCATTCAACCTTTCATGCTCTAGCCTATTCCTCCTCTTAGAATGAATAAAATCAAAAGCACTCCAATTGCAAACTTTTGCAATTTGGGTGCATTCGTTCCAAATTGATCCCACCATGCAACTGTAAAAACATTAAAATACAATATGCATTGAAATAAGTAAAAACTTTTTAAACAAAATGAAAAGAGAGATAACAAGAAAGAAAATTATTTGGATTTAACTTTTTTATCTAACGAATAGCCTAACTCATGCCAAAGGTCCCTGTAGCTTTTTTATACTCCTCAAGTTGTGAACTAATGAGATCTTGCTTATCCTCATCCAGCATCAATGTTGTCAAGGTATTAAGCAAACATCTCGTACCAGTAGTTTGTGTGTTGAAGCTAGGCCTAAAGTAGATACTTGGGTTAAGAAAGCAACCAGTTGCATGTAATGGGCTATAAAGTTGCTTATCCCATCTAGTATCAATCACATTAATGTAAGGAATGTAGTGAGACAACCTATTATTAAAATTCTTTTTTATTGTCTCCTTTGCTGTATCAATTGCCTTATATAAGTAGCCCATACTTGGCTTCTCTTCATTAGCCACAAGTCGAAGCACTCTCACCAAAGGTTCATTGATTTTGACAACTAATATGCAATTAGACCAAAATTCTTTATCTTCCAAGATAATTTCACATATTTCTTTCCCAACACTACTTCTTGCATACCTAGAACCAACCCATGCATCACTTGTAAACATTTGTCTAAGTTCCTTCTTAAATTTCAACCAACATTGGATGCTCAAAAAGTGAGTAGCAAATCTTGTAATAGCAAGACGACACAAATCTCTCCCATTTGTGTAGTCTCTCCTCATCAATGATAGCACCCATGAATGATTATATATGAACTTTGTGACTTTTCTTGCCTTTCCTATAGTAGTATCAATCATAGGAAAGTAGCTTCATAAGAAAAGTTTTCTAACATCAAGTCAATACAATGGGTAGCACAAGGAGACCAAAAAAATGTGTTGTACTTTGCTTCCAACCTTTTCCCAACAGCTTTGAATGAGACATCATTGTCTGTTATAAATTGTACAACATTTTCCACTCCTACTTCTTTCACCATTTCATCAAATATCCTCTCCAATGTTTTCGCATCCTTTGCCAAACCAGAAGTGTCAATGGACTTTAAAAACATACTTCCTCTATGACAATAAACAAGGAAATTGATTATTGGTTGTTGTCTTTGATTTGTCCATCCATCAACCATAATTGAGCAACCATTAATACTCCGTGTTGACTTCAAAGATAAAAGCCATTCATTAACCTCTTTTACTACACATTTTAAGAGAGAACCCCTCAAATCATGATAACTTGGTCCCTTGAAACCTAGTCCCATAGATGTGATAGCATCCATTATTGGCAAATAGTATTTTGATTGTGCAGCATGGAAAGGCACATTAGCATCATACCACTATCTAGCAATAGCCATCCTACCAGCTTCTTGTTTTTCTTTTGATTGCAAAGCACTTTTTATAGTTTTCTGTGCTCTAGGAGTTATCCTTGGTACAAAATAGGAATTAACATTCCTTTTTTCTTGTGCTACATGTGATTGAGATTAAGGGAACTCTTCAATTTCATCATCTTCTTCAACAAATGTCTGTGACCCACATTGACTCCCAACCATATCTCTAAGTCTCCTTCTCTTTTCTTTCCTTTTCATTATCTCACTTAACAACTGTTGCATTTGCCATTTTATATTTGCTGAAACTTTTTTGCATGCACCAACATTGCCTTTAATTCCGGCAAGGTGCTCTTTCAATCAAGTAATTCCACCCCCTTGTATAAGCTTATCACAATATAGACATTTTGTTTGATTCCTCTTGCTTGGGACAATCAAACAATGCGCCCAAGCAGGATCATCTGTTTTAGAAAGGACAGATCCAATAGAATCACAAGTAGCAGTCCATGAACCACTAGTATTCATAATGATATCCTACAAACACAACCCCCAAGGAACAAAACAAATAATTACACAACAAAAGTTAATGGAAAAATATCATAGCAACCTTAAACCATAGATTTGAAACTAATATCCTACAAAGACAACCATCGAGGAAAAAAAGCAAATAATTACACAATAAAAATTAAATGAAAAATATTAGAGCAACCCTTCTAATTAAATCATCTAACTGCAAAGAAATAGAAATGGATCTAAAAATGACAAAACTATTTAAAGAAATGCACATTCACCAGTAGGACTCAACATTTATTAATAACATTTCTGTTTCTGATTTTGAACCCTCGGTAGTCGGCATTCAACCAAAAAAATGAACAGCACGGCCTTAGTTCCCAACACGGTAATACCATAGATTTGAAACAAGATTTTGCTAGATGCACACTGATGCAATCAATTGTGATTAAAGAAGAAACAAAATGAGATCCAATCCATATCTAGAATAGCTAACATTGTTATGTTGCAATTTTTATCTGTCTCCAAGATTTGCTGGAAATGCCTTTGCAGAAATTAAATACCAAGACACTTACATTTTTACTTTATACTAGGACTAAGGAGTTCAACTTCGACATGGACATGATTTGATTTGATTTTTTTTTTTTAACATGGGCAAGGGACTATGCATACCAGCAAAAAAAGTAACATCGAAATGAAAATGTGAAGATACTTGAGATGGAGCTAGGCTACTGGAGAGTGGAGGAAGAGAGAGTAATGGCTGGAGCTGGATTGCCAGCAACGGCTGGAGTGGTTGGACCACCTGCGAGGAGTCGAGCTCAAGCCTCAAGGACCACTGGATGCTGGAGAACAGAGTAGAGGCACGATCTAAAATTGCAGGGTTTAATGAAGAAGCTTGAGGAGAGAACAGCGGCTGGACGTTGGAGCTGGAGAACAGAGGAGAGATCGACTCAATCCTGGAGAAAAGAGGAGAGGCACGATTTGAAATTACAGGGTTCAGGTCAAGAAGAAGCCACCCTTAGCCAAAACGATGTCGTTTTGGCTAGGGAATCTTTTTTTTTTTTTTTTTAATTCTTGCATAATGTACTGATCAAATTTCGGTCAATACACTGAAATTTGATCGAAACGAAATTTTAACTTATTCCATTTTGGTCTACCTCAAAAACTAGTACCAAGGTTTTCAGAACTGAACCGATTATTGAATCGTTTTCAAGTCCGGTTCCTGGTTCAACCGGTTCAATCGATTCAACCGATGAACCGATCGGTTCAAACAACAAAGGAAATCTACACTCTGCAGGTTACAGGCGGGCAGCTTCCAATGCTCGACACTTCAAGTCTTCAACATTATTTTTTGCTCTTTTGATCATTTTTCACAACTTTTTAACATAAATATATTATATTTTTTACCTTAAAAACTCATCAAATAATCTCAATACTAATTCTCAAAACAAAATACATATGAAAAAAACAAGTAAGCAAGCAAATAATACAAGTTTCAAATCCAAATACAAATAGAAAAAGATGTCTAAAAAAGACTTCAATCTAAATACATAACAATTCATTTAAGTTTCAAATACAAATAAAATAAACTAATAAAGGACTTGTTCATTCATTTCTCCTTATATTAGGAGGATCTTCATTGAACCATGCATCATGTTCACAGAAATCATTTTCAACATCATAATTTTCATCATTTTCTTCACCAATCGACTCCAAATCAATTCCTCCACTTGCACCTTCAACATGTAATGATTCTCCTTCACCACCTTGAACTTCTTCAATGTTATGTGTGCCACCTTAAAGGTTAATTGAAAAACATGAAACAAATAAAAATAAAAAAAATTAAATCATAATTTTAATGAAAATCAAAATACCATATTACTTATTTTAAAACTTTAATAAGTGACTAACCTTTTCTACCACATATTGGTAATGCTTGATCACTATAAATCATATTCTCCAACTCTTCATAATCAATAATTGGAGAATCATCTTCTTCCATAATCCACTCCTCAACATTGTCTATACTTTCATAATCAATAGGATCAAAGCAAGTCCTCTTTTTATTATCCTTCCTAACATTCAAGATAAATATAAAATATAAAAGAAACATAAATATTCAATTCAAGGAAATGAATAAAGGTATATAACTTTAAGAAATAAATGTTATTGTAGACTAGAGATCAAATAAATTACCTATGTTTTAAACGCAAATTGTAATGCACATAGACAAGATCATTTAACCTTTGATGCTCCAATCTATTCCTTTTTTTTGTGTGAATTCTTTCAAAAACATTCCAATTTCTTTCACAACCCGAAGAAGACGATGTTTGACTCAAGATTTGAATAGCCAATTTCTTTAAATTTGGAGCACTATAACCAAAATATTTCCACCATTCATCTATCAAAATAAGAATATAAAATAACAAAAATGTTAATAAAATAAGAAGTTAAAAAAATGTCATAAAGAATTAAAAAGGAAAGATTACAATAACTTTTAAAAGTTAAAATCTTACCGGGTTTCATGCTTTTTGAAGAATCAAGAGCACTTTCACGAGCAAAACTTTCCATTTTTTGGTCATACAACTCACACTCACTCAAGAATTTTGACTTCCGAGACGGTACTTTTGCATCCACAACATCCATAAAACCTTTCATGATTTCTTTTTTGGTTGAGAAATTTTCTTTATTATAAAAGAAAGCCGGATTCAAATAATAAGCAGCAGCATGAAGATTTTGTCGAAGTTGTCTATCCCATCTTTCCTTAATAATTCTTGTATAAGGCTTGTACAAAGACTTTCTATTCATCAAAATTGTTTTAATCGCTTTTCTTGCCCTATACATGCCATCATAGACATAACCAAGTGAAGGTCTCTCATCACCATCCACAATTCTAAGCAAGCGAATAAGTGGTCCCACGATTTTCACAACTAGCTCACAATTATTCCAAAATTTCTTGTCTAAAACAACAGCCACAACATCCTTTGCCTTTTGATCTTTATAATATCTAGACTCTCTAAACTCCAAACTAGTAACCAATGCTTGTAAATCATGCTTATGATCATGAAGACTTTTCAATGCAATGAATGTTGTTGCAAAACGTGTTGGCCCTGGACGTATGATTTCTGTCCATCCTTCTCTTTTTCTTAACCAAGCTAACAAGAAAGGATGATTGTATACAAATTTGGTCACCAAAGATCCACTAGTTGCAAGACCACTAACAACATTCAACTTGCCAATATCACTCAATATCAAGTTTAAGCAATGTGCAGCACAAGGAGACCAAAATATTGTAGGATATAGGTCATTTAACAATTTTCCAGCCTTTTTATAATTAGCTGCATTATCAGTAACCAAATGCACAACATTACTAGCACCCACAAACTCAACCAATTCTTTGAACAAATTGCAAAGCATAGAAGCATCTTTAACCACATCAGAGGCATCAACTGATTTCACAAAAGTAATTCCTCTAGGACAATAGACAAGAAAATTAATTAACTGCCTATTGCTTTGATCTTGCCAACCATCACCCATAATAGTGCAACCGGTTTCTGCCCATACACTTCTATAAGAATTAACCAATAATTGAACTTCCTTTTTCAAATCACACAACAAAGTGGATCTCATCATATGATAACTTGGTCCTTTGTAACCAGGACCAATTGCAGCAATTGCATCAAGCATAGGTCGAAAATAAGGGGAATTTATAGCATTTATGGGCAAACAACTATCAAAAAAAAATCTAGCAACAGCCATATCAGCCTTGTGGACAGCATCTTTACCTGCCATTGCACTTTTAATAGATGGTTGAGATCCAGGAGCTGTTCTTGGAGCAAAGTAGTTTTGAATCCCACTTGCATTTGCCTTCCTTTTTTTGCCCACTTCCGTTGAAGTTGCTAACCCCTTTCCTTTGAATTGTGATTGTTGTGCTGCTGAAGATGGAATCTCTTGCAAGTCCGGTGCATTTCCCTCAGGATCCATGGCACTAGACCCGAATGGATTGTCTTCCCATTGGTTTTGTATTTGCCTTTTATTTTCTTCATATTCCTTGAAACTCTCTTGCATCCGATAACGAATATCAAACGGCACTTTATCACACTTTCTTACGTCTCCACCTTTTCCTGCAAGGTGTTGTTTTACTCTATGTATTCCCCCTCCTCTAAATGTTTTTTGGCAATACAAACATTTTATTACTTTTCTTGCACCATCCATAACTTCTGCACAATGCTCCCATGTGGCATCAACTTTTTGCCTTAAGGATTGCAATTGTGAGGATGTAGGAGTTGCTGCTGAAGCTGAATTTTGTCCGAATGATGACATTTTACTGCAATGTACATCAAATAAATCATTAATAAATGACAACTCTACAAAATGCAAACTTAAAAAGTACAAAATGCAAACTGAAGAAGAGCATAAAAAAAAAAAACTCAACCTGCAAGTGTCCAAAAACCAACCCAGATACAGAACATATGGCTAATTAATCCAAAAAATTCAAAGTGTCCTGCAAGTGTCTAGCAACTCTATTTCTAATTCTAAAATTGGAAACTAATTAACAATTTCTAATTCTAAAAAGTTATAAATTTAATTCAATTTTTTCTCATCAATTTATGAAACCAAGATATACCTGTGCTCGGGTGGGAGAAGCTGTGAATGTGAAGCGTGAGCTGTGAAGAAGCAGTTAAGGCCAATTGCAGAACAGGAGGCACACGGAAGGTGACCGGCGTCGGTGAGAGCAGAGACAAGCGCTGGTGAGAGCAGAGACAAGTGCCGGTGAGAGCAGAGACAAGTGCCGGTGGAGCAGAACAACAGAAAGCAAGGTCGATGAACTGAAGTGAAAGAAAGTATCAGCAGAAAGCAGTTCCGAACTTCCGATGAGAGCAGATCCGCAGACAGCACAACAGACGCAGAGAGCAGCTCCGGTGAGAGTAGATCAGCATAAAGCAGAGCAGCTCCGGTGAAAGCAAATCAGCAGAAGGCAGAGAGCAGAAAGCAGATCAGCAGAAGGCAGATAGCAGCTTCGGTTCGGTGAGAGCAGAGAGCAGCTCCGGCGAGAGTGCATTAGCAGAAGGCAGAGAGCAAGTTCGGTGAGGGCTGCAGATCAACAACTGCAGAAAGTAGAGAGCAACAGAGCAACGTCGGCGATCGTACACAGCAGAGAGGGAGGGGAGCGCCGGCGGTGTAGGTGAGGGTAGAGACGAGAGGCAGAGAACTTCGGTTGGGACTTGGGAGGACCGAAGGAGTCGTCCAGCTCGAGGGTTTTCTAATTTGGTGCATGATGATTTTGTAATTTTGTTAAAAGTAAGGGTTAAAATCGGTATAAGAAAGGGATGGTGG